CCAGAAGCTGTACTTCATATTAGTGACAAACTTCGGTGTTTTTTGACATGTTACCTTCATTTTTGCTTCTACTTTTCTTTTAAAATAAGTTTCCATTTTCGTCAGGTTCTAAGGTTCTTCTTCTATGTATTAAAAAGGTTGTTAAACATCTGAGTGGTGCACTACTGCTACTAGTGGTGAGAAAGTGTATTGCACCTTATTTAAAATCAATGTGGTCCCACGGCCCTCTGCGGCCCAAAGTTAAAAACTGTTGTTCTTTTGAGGCCCTCAAGGTGGCGCTCACTCACAGGTTAAGAATCTCTGCTGTAAACCATCCTACCCCCCAGGCATGCTCAGAAACTTCTTTCAGAATTTTTTTGTCTCCTTGCTCTGTTTTTCCTAATTTCTCATCTTTTCTCTTCTCCATGTCTGCTCCTGGAGGTGAGCTATCCATGGGCGAGCTCCAGGATCCTTTCCTCGTCAGCGTCCACCTCATCGCCGACCCCGGTCAGGGCAGAACCCTGCAGCGTGCTGCCGACGCCGTGCTGATGTGGGTTCACCCCGAGCTGCAGCTCTTCAGAGTCTCGGAGCGGGCCTCCACCTCCCAGCGCARGCCTCCGAAGCGGCAACAAAACGGCGGCCCGCCTGCGGCCCGCCAGCCGGCCGTGGCGGTCATCCTCTTCCTCCAGGAGGTGTGCGGTGGGGAGGAGCACCTCCTGATGCTGCACCGTGCTCTGCAGAGACCGCCCTGGTGTTACCATCACAGTGAAAAGGTCAGCAACGGCCGCCGCGCGCTCCCGCCCACGCCCTGCAGCCAGGACTTCTTCACGCTGGCTCCTGGAACGCCGCTGTGGGCCGTGCGGCAGATCCACTGCGGCAAGGAAATCGTACGGTTTACAATTTACTGCAGCTATGAAAACTACGTGGACATGGTGCGGCTGTACAAGCTGCTGCTGCAGCGACGTGTGGCGCAGAAGAAGGAGGACTTCTGCTTCTTTGTGGTTTACTCGAACCCGGACATGGAGATCCAGCTGTCGTTTAAGAGGCTCCCACGGGGCCAGAGTCCCGTCGTGTTGGAGTCAGCCGTGATGGAGGTGAGAGTCTGGGATGTTGGAGTGCTGGTTCCCCTCCTGCCGCTCCCCTGCAGTCCAATCAGTGAGGTTCGCTGGCAGACAGAGGACTACGATGGAAACAAGATCCTGTTACAGGTATGAGATGTTTTTGTGTTATTCCTGTGTGCACTAACAGAACAAGCAGTAACTTCCACCATCATTACTGAGGCTTTATAGCAGCATTTATTTAATACATGCTGCTAGACAGCCTGTGTGTGTGAGCAGGAACACTAACCCACACAGTGTTGTATAAACCAGGGGTTCTTAACCTTTTTGACCTCAGGGCCCAATTTGTTGAACATAAAGTGACACGAGGCCCAGTCAGACATTACCAATGTATGGATCAAAATGATAATTATTCTAAATCTTGGTTAATTTTTTTTTTGTATTTTCATCTTAACTAAACTATCATAACTAACATAACTAAATAAAATACACTTACAGT